TTGACCCACAATTGTCCCACGGTTCCACCACCAACATTTGCTCCATAGAATATAAGGGCAGTATATATTTGAGATGCAATGCAATAGCAACATCCTGAAGAGGGCCGTGCATGCAATCTTCTTGCGTTGAGTGTGTCCAAGGTCACCGACTTCCAGTGAAAACCTCACCACCAGACCTTTTTTCATCGACTGTATGGAATCTTCACCGACTACGTATATTTATGTTGTAGCAAACTAATACCCTTATTGGAATAGGAGCGGTGGAGTCGATCATTTTTTCGTCTCACCGACTGAAACTTGAGTAGGGCCGCTGGTACAGTACTATGAAAGGAGGCTTTCGAGTGGTACTATGAGAGGAGTAGGACTTGGGGTTGTGGGCATCGTGGGGTGTAAAAGCCATTGTTGTTGCTCTGTGAAATCGAAGAGCTCGGCCTGCTGCTGTTGCGTCTTAGAGGGAAAGGGATCTCGATCGGGTACTTTCAAGAACTGAGCCATCATTCAACTGCCTCCCCCTCATCATTTCTCTCAATCTTTGACCTGTTTGATTTTTATTTTTATTTTTTTCTATGAAAAATCCAATAGATTATTACCATTGCATCTCCACGGTACGCACCCATTTTCTGTAAGGGCTAAATCTGATAAATGCTCCTTGGCAATAAGTTATTTAAATGATAACCTTGTTATTAAAAATTTAAGAAAGTTTTTAAGGAATAAACTCCAAATTAAAATTTATGTAAATCATTGTAAACAGAAAATCTTGCAACAAATGACAAGATAACACTAATTGTATTAATGAATTTATAGGGTTACAATATCTTTACAATTTGATCATCTTATTCGATCTTCAAAATGTGTAGACGTGTAATGTAGGGGTTATATATTGATCCAAGGGTCGAGATGACTTGATCTTGGATGAACGATTGCCTCACGGATTTGGCTTGTCACGAAGGAAGAACTGACACCTGTGGGGTGCTTGATGATTCTTCAAAGTTTTGGCGAAGAAATTCTTCTTATTAGTATTTGGGAATTTGGATGCTTGAGAGCTTTAGAGTTTCAAAGCTTCAACTTCTGGACATTAAATGATTTATGGACCATTTTCTTTGTCATGGAGCCTCCTATTTACAAACTCTCCAAACTTTGCTTACGAAAAAATCAAGACTTGATTTGTGTGTCAGTTCGTGACTTGTGATTTTACTCCATCAATTAATATTTGATTTAAATAAATATAAAACAAATAAATCAATTCATTTAAATTATTAATTTGTTTCATTTTAATTAAAATCAAATAATCCCTTTCTGTCATATGCTGACACTTGTCCTCTTGATGACTCGTTTGATTTTGATGAGTCATATGTCATGTGTACAATTTATGAGACACGTAGTACATGCCACGTAAGCCCTCGCATACCAAAATTTAATGCATTGGTGAACATTTATTTTCACTGAAATTTACATGACCACAACCACCATCAAAGGTCTGCACATGTGATGAGCCTTACGTGCAAAGTTAATTTAATCTAAAAGTTTGAAATGATGAAATCGCTTTCTAAGTGTCGGAGTTCTTCCTGATAAATCGAGTTCGAGGTTAAGATGTTCGCAAATTGAAATCCACCACTCAAATCTAAAAGGCTAAAGGTCCCAACATCAATTAGAGAAAAAAGACGCACATATCTTCATTAGTTTATCATATTAGGAATGAATTGAATGAATTAAGTAACACGGAAATTTATGAGCTAATACGATTTGAATATTAGTCTATCCCCTTATTTTATGATTTGATTTTGACCAATTTTTCTTGAAGAACATAAAGTACGTAGCCTCGAGGGTTCTAACTTTCTTTATTCATTTTATTCTTTTCAGTTTTCACCAAACTTGAGTCTTGAGGTTATTTATAATATATAAGGGCTTGTTTGGAACTTCATTTTATAGACTCGTCAATGAAAACCGATTTTCATACTTATTTTTTATTTGTTTACACTCTTCTTTTTATTTCTGGTCACGCGATTAAACAAATCAATAATTGGAAATGAACGAAAACAAGTACATAATTTATGAGGAGAAAATGAGAGCGAAAATCATATTCCTTACCAATATGTCTAAATGCTTATTAAAATTTTGAGCGCTTTCGTCATTCATAACTATTTCTAATGTTTATTTTCTTTTACAAACAATGCAGAATGTAGTTTTTTGTTTTAAAATACTTTGATCTGTTACAAAAACAATAAGCTGGAAAACAAATACTAAACCGAACCGAAACCTTGTTTTGTTAATTTTTTTTATCACCTTAAATACATACACATATACGTGTAATGTATATGTATTAGTAGCTATAGCCTTAAATTAATTAAGGAGGTGAGTTGGAGCTATCAAATGGCAGAAACTATACGGGAAGAGAAATAAATGCAAGATTAGAACATTTTGGGATTGCTGGCTATATTTGCAGCTTGCTTGTTTAAAACTTCATTCGGCAATCGGCAAAAAATAATTGTCTAACAATGCAGATGCATGCAACTTGAAGGCTTTCAAGATAGAAACCATCATTTTTGTTTCTTTAAATTGGCTACAAATTATTTGATTCCTTTCAACCAAATTGAAAGAACAACATAGAAACTATCAAATGGCAGAAACTATACGGGAAGAGAAAGAAATGCAAGATTATAACATTTTGGGATTGCTGGCTATATTTGCAGCTTGCTTGTTTAAAACTTCATTCGGCAATCGGCAAAAAAAAATTGTCTAACGATGCAGATGCATGCAACTTGAAGGCTTTCAAGATAGAAACCATCATTTTGGTTTCTTTCAAGATACAAACCATCATTTTTTTTTCATTAAATTGGCTACAAATTATTTGATTCCTTTCAACCAAATTGAAAGAACAAGATAGAAACTTTTTTTTTTTTTGTCAAACGATAGATTTGTTAGATTAGATCTCAAATTAAGGAGTCGTCAGGGTTCGAACCCACATCGTGGTGTAAGAGCAAACTCATCTCCACCACTGTGATAAAAGATCACTTGCAAGATAGAGACATTTATCCACTATAAAGACAAGTACCAAACTTTATTACTTCTTTTTTTTTTTTTAATAATAAAATGGATTAATTTTAAAATTCGGGCGTAAATTTTTATGTCTTAAAATTCGGTTCTAAATAAATTTAATCGCTTCATCTGTTTATGGATTTGTAATGTGCAGTACGTTATTGAACATGCCTTGCATAGTTGGATTAAAATGTTGGTTGGAACAATATGTGGATGTAACAAATAAGAATGTGTATACAAATAATAAACAATAAATTACAAATTTGTAAGTCGTGCGTAGGACGATTTGAAAAACGCCTCTTACTGATTTTTGGTGAGAGAGAAACTCAACTATGTCTCGCAATAAGTTGAAGCGATGATGGGGATGTCATTTCCATCCCATTGATCCCATTACGTGTTTCCCCCCATCTCCGTCTTCATACCCCTGAACCCTTGATTGGAAAAGAGAATAAAAGTCTCTTGGCATCCAAATGTAGACTACTGGTTTATTTAGTGGTTTTTAACTTTATTTGGGTGCGGCAGGTTGAAGGAGAAAATGAACCAAATGTAAGATTTTAGTAATTTCAAACTTTAATTAGGAAATAAAGCAAATGTAGATTGGTATATATTCATAATCTCAAACTTTAATTAGAAAATACAGCACATGGAGATGGGTATATTTAGTGGTTTCAAACCTTAACTGGGTGTGTGAAAGAATAGTAGATGGCTAGATTAATTAGAATAGGAGTGCAAAATAAAACCACTTTTGTTGGTTTGCTAGCAAAAATAAAAGTTTCTAGCAATTTTTTATTAATTGGAAGCAAAATAATAGCAAGGCTATCACATGGAGGGTTGTTTCTTTGGTGAATATCATCGTGTTCACACGTTTTATTGGGTTACATGTGATTCAATATCTTAGTAAATAGGATGTTGGATCTTCACCCATGCATCATCGGATCGAAACTTCTTATTCTTTAAATTATTGGAATAGTTCTGAACTCTCCATCTCACTTATTAATAATAATTCTTCAAAGAAAAAAAAACTATCAGCTTTTTTAAAACTATCAATTATAGCCAAAAACACACTTGAATAGATTTAAATGCCCTAAAATTAACTCCCAATTACAATATGCCTGAAGTCCTTGGACTATCGAAAGCTGCACTAGCTACTGCTCATCGTAAAAAACTGACTTGGACTATCGAAAAGTGGACTTCACCAGGAAAGTTTCAACACCATTAAAATGTCAAAAACACTTACCAACATTAGTTAGCGCCTAAATTACTTCGTTCATGGAGGGTGAAAAAAATAGGGTACTATTCCCCAACTTGGTGTGGTCATGTACTTTGACCAAATATTTAATTCTTAAGTTAAATTTTTGGTTTTTTTAAATACATGGAAAATCTATTTTGTAAATCAATACATGTCGGTCATAGGAGTTCAATGGAGCTCTTTGGCTTGCTCTTCACTAATGATTATTTCTTTTCGTTGTAGAAATTGTTAATGGATTTTGAGATTTTCTTAATTTTCTTTTCCACTCACCTAAATCAACTTCATGAAATTTAAATTATTATAATCCCTATAATTCATTTGTTCTGTATGTGATATCAACGAGGTTGGATCAAACGAAGCTTCACTTTTTCACTAAAATCAAGAAAAACTGATTTTTCTGACTTGCATTGCCCTTTTATAAATGGCAGAATTAAATTAATAGGTTTATATAGTTGCATGCAACAACTTTTCTCGACAGTAAACCTAGAAATATCTTATGAAATTTCCGTACTTTTATCAGAACCGGAAATTTCCATACTTTTATCTAGTAGGGTTCTGATTTTAGGTTTATGTTGTTTTTAATTTTGAGGGTATTTGAGTCTATTCCTTGTGGTTTTTGGCTATGTTTTGAAATTTTTTAAAATTGACATTTATAAAATTTGGGCATAAATTTTTGGCTATAAATACTCCCGAGCGACCTCAGAATTCCACAGAAACAAACCGCGAAAACATGATTTCTTCTCCTCTCTTTTAATCGGAGCAGAGTTGTTGTAGTCTGAGGGTGAGAGCAGTGAGGATCTGTAGGTTGGAAGCAGTGGTGGCAGTTGAGGATAGTGTCAAAGCTACGGGTTGCCCAAAGATTGAGCCTTCAGATTTGCGACCCTCGTTCTTGAATTGATCAGAGCTCGGAAATACTCGTCGGAGGAGGCTAAAATGGCTATACAATTGGCTGATTTTTCTTGGGCGGTGATGGTGCCGAAGAGCACTAGCAAAATGATGATCAAGTTTCTACTTGTACTGCTCATCAGCCTCTCAACCGTTCTGGCGGAGGGAAACGCATGCAATCCGATGGACCTGAAAGGGCTGACTGATTTCAAAGCCGCCATCCACAACGACATTGGCAACCGCCTAGCATCGTGGGTTGGCCACCGTTGCTGCATGTGGAAAGGAATAACTTGTGATAACAGGACCGGCAGAGTTACCGAAATCAATCTACCAGCTTCGAGTTACGGCGCTCGCCTGGAAGGCTCTCTGTCTGCTTCCGTAACTCTGATATCTTTCCTTCAAGTCCTCGATATTGGTGGCAACCCTGGGCTTGTTGGGGAGATTCCACAAAGTCTTGGGAGTCTTAAGAATCTGTTTAGGCTGTCTTTGGTCTCCAATCGGCTTTCAGGTTCTATTCCTGAGTCAGTTGCAAGTTTGACAAATTTGGTGTTCTTGGATCTTCGTAACAATTCTCTGACCGGTCACATACCGCAGAGAATTGGTCAGTTGCAGGCCTTGCTAGATTTTGATGTTTCAAGAAACCGTTTGTCTGGGAAGCTTCCACCTTCAATGGCCAATTTATCATCCGTTGTAACTATATGGTTGCACAATAACTTTTTTGAGGGGCCAATTCCAGTTTTAAAAATGCCATCTCTCAAGCTTTTATTGCTCGCGAATAATAGTCTCACCGGAAGCATACCAACAAACTTTGGAGATTTGATTGCGCTCCGAGAGGTTAACCTATCGAACAACAAGCTTGAAGGAGCAATCCCAGAATCCTTGGGAAACTTGAGCATGCTACTGGTGCTCGAGTTGCAGCAAAACCGCTTTTCGGGGAAAATTCCAGACGAGTTTCTGAAGCTGGGGAATCTGGAGGAATTGAATTTATCAAACAATCATCTCGTGGGGAAAATTCCAGAGGGCAAACCGCTCAGTGACTTTCCCAAGAGTTCTTACTCCGGAAACACAGGCTTATGCGGAAAGCCTCTCACTCCCTGTAAGCCTATCTAGTTGTAGGCCAGGCCGCCAATATATGTAGCTAAATAACCTTTAAACTTTGCTATTATAGTTTGTTTCGTACATGCTCGGGGCTTACGGATGACTACCTTGTTAGCATTCATGATATGAAATTATGAATATGAAATTGATTTCAAGAAACCAGTTGTTCTCATAGTTTTCTGTTGATGAATCCCCTTGTTTATGCATCTGATCAATACAAGGCTGTGGCCACGGAAAAATTAAAGTACAGTGACATGTAATTTGAAATGTTCGAAACACGAAAATGCCTAAATCCCTGGCTACTTTATCTGATAACTTAAGTGTTGGTAGCAACAACAATTTCTTCTTGTTGCATATCAAGTATCAACTAGCTTCCTTCACTTAAAGACTGAACCTTTCCAGAAACAAAAACATATATAGCTTAACTCCGTCAATTGGTGAGTTTCCAACCAAATTAAATATCGGAAAATGGCAGAAAAGAAATTAATAGAATCGCAGCATTCGAAATAGCTCACATCATTCAAAAAAATTTCTGCAGCTTTGGCACTAAAGTACTGACATGCCTTATTATTATGATTTAGGGAAAAATTAAAGGATACCCTGTTTGGTCGAATCCAAACCAGGTGGAACCACTTCTCAACGAGAATGCTCCACCACCAGCCAGTCCTAGCATTGTCAAATGTCAATAAACTTTCCCAACTTTGCCAGCATCATGCAGGAAAATCATCTATGCAGAAACTTCTGTTCCAATGTAGGTTTACCAGTTTCTAGGCTGTGAGCATCGATGCAAATGATTACACTCGGGCCTTCCTGGTGCAAATAGAGTAACTTTTACACAAGGAAAAATTCAGGAGTGTATGTGGACTATATAGCTAAAGTAATCTTGATATGAGTAGATATATCTATGCTGATATGAATAATATGGTTTCGTGGTGATAAGGGTTATCAGTTTGATAGTTTGATAAGGATTACATGATGGGAAGTATCCTTATCAAACACCACCATTTAGGACATATAATAGGGTCCCCTGCTCTCTCACTAATTACGCACAAAAGATATCAAGCCCCATTGATTGTAGCAGTGCATTCGGTCTGTGTAGAGAGTAGAAGAACCCTTAGTTCATTGCAACAATGGCGTCACAAGGTTAGTGGTTAATTTGGTATCGTGAATTACATGTTTCCACAGATATTGATTTTACATTTGGTATCAGAGCTTTCACATACCAATTAACCCTAAGAAGAAAGCATAAGGAAATGTTTAAAGTTGCAGGTTACAGACTAATGATGTACTATACAGGAAGAACATCTTTATGCACATGATAGCTAAAGCTATATGTGCTCTGTGTTTTTCATTCAGTATACAAATTGGTAATGGCACTAGGGCTTAAAGCATTGTCACTGATCATCTAAAGAAGTTCAGTTGTCCATGTTTTGATCTCTAGTGGCATGACACTTCATATTTCAAGTGAGAATCCAGCCACTTCTTGCAGTCCACAAAGGATTGTAATTATGGCTACAGATATTCTTATTTTGAGTGTGAGGGTGTCGTGACTAAAGAAAATTTTCATATAACTCGTTAATCCAAAATTTTTTGAGTCTGTGATATAAAGATTGGGGAATAAAGTTTGATATTTATCATGTTACATGATTAAACCCTAATTCCATGAACCTCAACACGGTTGAACCACTCACTGGTGTTAACTACAAGAAATGGAAGCAGGATTTGGAGACTACTTTGGGTGTCATGGATATGGACTTGGCACTAAGGACTGAAGAACCACCAGGACCAACTGATGATAGCACATCAAGCCAGAGGTTTAAGTATGAAAAGTGGCACAAATCAAACAGAATTTCTTTGCTGATTATCAAAAGAAGCATGACTGATATGGTTCGAGGAGCCATCATTGATGCTACCAATGCAAAGGATTTTCTCAAGTCCATCGAGCAGAAGTACAAAGAGTCACCAGAAACTGAGACAGATGCTACCAATACAAAGGATTTTCTCAAGTTCATCGAGCAGAAGTACAAGGAGTCTCCAAAAATTGAGACAGGTAATCTCATGAACTCACTTACCACCATGAGCTATGATGGCATTGAAAGCATGCGTGAATACATTTTGAGAATGACGGATGTTGCTACAAAGCTCAAGGCTCTTGAGGTACCTATATCAGAAAATTTTATAGTGGGATGCGGATGA